CAGGGAGCAGCAGTGGTATGCAGGAGCCTGGAACAACAGCGTTGACAAATGGCAGACTTCCTATATGAAAAAAAGCTGGATTTTGCAATCAAATTTCTTATCACATTTATTAAAATTTTTTCCAGTGTCTTGAATGAGGCAACACTTGGATCAAACATAGCATGTCTGCTCTAGGACAGGCACAAACACGAGCTGCCAAATGACCCATCAAGTGTGCGAGCAGCAGAATCTATGCAGTCCCAGAAAAGAACATTTCAGGTTATGCCTACTCACTAAATACAAGGTTAAATAATTGAATTATGTTAACCTATGAACAACTAACAGCAATACTTAGAGGTCTGCATTGATCTTGGGATATGCCATTGTAGCTCTGGATGAGGAACCAACAGCAGATATGAAGCAAGTAAAGGCGAAAAGATGGAGATAAGTTCAGTAAATCAAACTGCTCCTGTATTCTAATGGCACCCAAGACAGTTCAACTCATACAGTCTGGCTAACCCATGTCTGAAATATTCATGGACTTCCAACTAGTCTAAATAGAACCTTCAGAAACTAAAGTAGACCCAGCATAATACTTTGTTAGAGTAGTAACACAAGCCACATAATTACTACAGGCTCTAAACAAAAGCCCATCTCTAGATAAACCATCACACCTTAAGCTGGAGCACCTCTCCTGTGAGGGCAGGCTGAGAAAGTTGGGGCTGTTCAGCCTGGAGAAGAGAAGGATCTGGGAGACCTTATATCAGCCTTCCAGTACTTTAAGGGGGCCTATAGGAAGGAGGGAGTTTTGACAAGGGCAAGTAGTGATAGGATGAGGGATAATGGTTTTAAACTGTAAGAGGGTGGGTTTAGATTAGATATTAGGAAGAAATTATTTCCTGTCAGGGTGGTCAGACACTGGCACAGGTTGCCCAAGGAAGTTGTGGATGCCCCCTCCCTGGAAGTGTTCAAGGCCAGGCTGGATGAGGCTTTGAGCAACGTGGTCTAGTGGAAGGTGTCCGTGCTCATGGCAGGGGGGTTGGAACTAGATGATCTTTAAGGTCCCTTCCAACCCAAACCATTCTATGATTCTATGAGGGTATTGTTAGCAGGTCTTGCTTTTCTGACAGTTAAGTGAACACCACCAATGAACAACTGAACATCACATGCAACACACAGGTCTGCAGAAATAGCAAAAATCTATCCCCATGGGAATGAAGTCTCCAGATTTTCAGGGTATTTCATGCAAGACCACACAAGCAATTATGGAGAAAGAAAAAAAATCAGAACATCATGCTGTGTGAGGAATAAGAAAATCTGTTACTGAGACAGCCTCTTGAGATTGTCTACTAAACAGCACACAACAAAAACCACTGTGAGCTGAAGTCTTTGAGAGGCAGACAGCATGTTACTGTGGGTGGAAAACGCACCTACAGTTCATCATGCACAAGTTCATAACCAGAACTTCCAGAGTCCCCAAAGGAAACTGGAGAAGCTTGGCACACAAAAGTCAACACATATGCTTTTAATGCATAATGGATGCAGTGGTTGTGGTCAGACCAATTTCAATTTTTACATGAGGTACAGTGAAGCTGGCATTGACTATGAACATGAAGCCAGAGGTAACCACTTATTGTCAAATTAACATTTTTCATAGGTAAACTATAGGTGTTTGTTAATAATAGGGAGCAAGGGAAAGGGAAGGGATATCCAGGTAATTCACACTTTTGTTAGCTTATTCCACTCAATGATACTTCTTTCATGTTACCACTGGTGGATAACTACTGAGACAGGGTACAGATGAAGTGGTAGCTAAAGCTGTAGCTACAGGAATGTAATGAAAAGCCTGAGAGTCTCACAGGGGCTCCTGAATACATCCCATCACAGAACAATGCTGTACAGCACAGCACTTGAGCCATACTAGAGGAAACTAGATTCAAGGTATATTAGAGAGCCTTTCTTTTTCAGACATTGCTTTCAAAGGACAGTCTGTTATATCCATTTTAAAAGGGAAAGGAATAACAATACTGGCACGTGGTTATTTTCTGCCTCTGGTAAAACAGTATTCATAATATAGAAAGAGAAAAATGACCATTTTCTCAACCTCAATATAAGTTACTAACAACACATGTTGATTTAGGCAACGTGCACAAAGAAAGAAGGAAATCATCAAGCCAGGAGACATTTAGACGCAGTGCAGTACAGCAGCAATCCACCAAAACACAAGAGTAAATAAATGCAAAAGGCAAGATAGAATGTAGACAAGTTGGGGTTTTTTTAAATCCTAAAACAAATAAACTTTAAGAAGCTATACATTACCTGCTCTCCCTCAATTTCTGGATATATTTATACTTAGGTGTCAGTGAGCCATTGGATGCAATCACTGCCTAGAAATACATGAAACAAGTTTTGAGGGGTTTTGTGTACCTGTACGTTTTAAAGTAGACGAAGACAAGCAAAGTACCAAACTGCAAAACTTACATCTCGAACAACAGGTGAGTAATTCTGGCTTTCAAGAGGTTCTGAGCCTTCTGATAACAGCTACAGAGATAAATTATTTCCAATGAGGTCATTTTATTTCCCATAATTTTTTGAAGAGTAAAACATCAAGATTTTCAGCAACATTTCAATGCATGCAATAATGTCAGTATCTTGTAGATCTGAAATTCTCCAGGTCCTGATCAGTGTCATTTGACTTCTATGAAAATACAGGAATTTAAAGAGCAGTCTGATTGTGAGTGATTGTTGGGTGCCCCAAGAAAATCAGATTTAGACATCTACTGCAGGCTTCAGGAGGAATGACCTGCCAGAGCCTGTGTGCTGCCTACAGAAAGTGTTCTTGACAAATCACTAAGACATCCAGGTCACTAATGTCTCATTCACATGTTGTTTTTTGAAAGAATTGCCTCAAGACTTAGAAAGATTTTTTCTTTTTTTCAAGTACAAAGTCAGTTATGTTCTACAGCAGATTCCTCTTGAATGTACACAGAAGACCAGAAAAGCAACAAACAAGCAGACCGAAGTCCGAGCATTTTACCTTCTTGTTGGACACATAAGACCTTACCATCTCTTCAATATATGGGAAAAGCATATCGCCAAAGTACTCTGTTGCTTCTATAGGAAGCTGTGCTGGCAGATTGTCAATGGAACACATCAGAATCCCAGAGCCTTCAACACTGAAAGAGAGAACACAGCTCTTTCTAGACTACTTCTCTTTGGTACCTGAAAGGTACCACCTTTCAGAACTGTTTTAAACACATGATTTTCCTATGCAATGTTTCACTGTACAAATTACAGAGGAAAGCAATAAAAATTAAAGGCTCTCCCACCTGTCATGAATAATATGCTGGTCAGCATCATACATACAAAATGGACTGTCAATTGTTGTACACTCCGTCATAAATTCTATAGATCCTCCAGTGTCTGCTGAAATGTCACATATTGCCAGAAGTCTAAAGTGATTAAACAAAAAAGACAAATTACTAAGAAACATAAGTATAAAAGATCACAAGTGAACAGGAAATAAAAGAAGTGTGAGAAGATCTATCAGACTTGTGGTTTCATTCATCTTAACCAATTTAGGAGTAAACGCAACACAAACAATGACATCCAGAAATGGAATGGAAATCTGGCCCTACTGTAGTTATAAGATTTCCATTCACGTGAACAGGATCCATATTCCATGTGTAACTTCTCAAAGACCAAGAAAATCCACTCATCCATAATTTTTCCTCTGTTCTCCATGCACTGCCAACATCTCCCATTCATTAACCATCTACCAGTTTCCCCCGAGCTGTCACTGGGCAGTTCTGCACTAGAATAACTTCATCATCATAAATGGAAACCTAAAGAGGTGGCTGCCTCCTGGTGCAGGTGGAGCATTCATTAACCTCACTCACAACTTCTGGCTTCACTCCAGGTTATTTGTCATGTGAGAGAAAGAAAGGTGTCAAGAGTGGGCAAAGAAGAGACAAAGACCTGCTTCCTCACCAAGATACATTGCCATATCCTTCCCAAATCCATCTCCAGAGTAGTCTCCCAGAGAACTATTACACAGGGCTATTAGAGAAAGGGTGGCTCCCACCCACACTGAAAGGAGAAACCCTGGATTTGCACCCCATGTTCCACCCTTAAAGCTAGTCAGGGTTGTGAAGCATTTCTGCTACCTGCTGCAGAAATCAGAGGTGTTAAGGAACAGTTATTGAACTTGTACAAGCCAAATGACAGCGTAGGAAGAATTTAACCGACAAACTCTGCTCTGGCATAGAAACTTCTAGCAATCCTGGTGCAGCAGGTACGTTTCCCAGATGTCACACTGTTTGTATTGGATTCTGCACAAGGATCAATTGCGGAGCTATCTTTGCAGAAAGACAGCCAATACCTGTCAATCATTTGTACAGTGATCTTTTCAAAAACTCCAAACTATGAAAACAAGACTGCAAAGTACAGAGGAACAAAAGCGGAATCAATGGGTCACTGTGCAACACGCAAGAGCAACAACGTAAGAAACGGAATCATTTGGTAGATACTGTGGTGAAACTGCCTAACGTCATGACTTAATCATGGTACTGCAGAATTGTTATGAGTGAACTGAAGTGTCTTACTTGTGTGGTAACTCAGGACAGCCCTCTGTTGCACCAGCAGCAGATCTAACTGGCACCATCAACTTCTGAGCATCCCATCGACTTA